TTAATGTTGGTGGTGTTTATATGAAAGTTAGTGTTAATGATGGTGGTATACTTACAGAATCTTTCTAATGTAAAGTAAGAAAACTTGCTTGCACCAACACTTCCCTGTTTTCTTTTTCATCATGCTCATTGTTGCTTTTGGATATTAAAAACAGTGAATATACTTCAGATACAGGAGCTATGGAAAACTTTCAACATACCATTTCATTGCCCAAACCAATGTTCTACTGGTGCTTATTTGTGATCTCTTGTATGCAGATAACTGCAACTTGGTTGCATATAAAGAAACTGATATGCAATGTTTTATAGATAGGATTTAAAAACATGCAGTGCATTCGACCTTACAATCAGTTTATTCAAGAGAGTAGTGATGTTCCTGAGTACAGTATACTCTGATCACTGTATACACTGATCTGTCCATTCTTCTTAACAGTAAAAATCTGAAGGTTGTTGACAGATTTACCAACCTGGACAGCAATATTAACAGTGTTGCACCAAAATTTTTGGAGCCCTGAAGCTTGAACAGATATGGGGGCCCCTTCGCAACCAAGTAACAATAGATTTGAGTATCCATCCTGCTAATATGTAGGCTATGAATAGATTCTGGTGAAATCAACAAATCTATATAGCAGTGGGTTCTGGCACTGCAAGCCCACAAGAAAAATTTGAAATTTGACCCATTTGAGTATTAGAGCATATTCTAAGGTCAACGTTACCTACTTCCACTCATTCTATCACTAAAATGAGCTTATTTTAATAATAAACACATTAAGAAAAAACATTGATTTTGTTGAAAAATTCACTCAGTAAAAAAGTTGTTTCAGGGGCTCCTCTGGTATTCTTCTATGTTCCTTCAGGATATAGGCGATCATGGCTCTCCAAAATTTCCTGTCTTTGATAGCTTTTAATAAATTTTGTTATTTCTCCTAAACTCTTGTTCTGCCATCAATATACTGAAGCCCACTAAGTAAGTTATGCAATATTTTCCTCTGTCCCTGTTGACTTCAGTTTGTCCTGTGAGTATAAGATCTTCTAAGCCCTTTTTCTTCATTATGTACCTTAGACATTTCAACTGTCTTTTCCTGATGTTAAGTATGTTTCCTTCTTGTTATCATTTTCTCTCAAACTTTGTTGTTGCTAGTATGTTTAGTCTATGGTATCCTCAGCATCTTCCCGTAGAATGATATAGTCTCCTCTTCATACATGAGGAGATTGTCCAGCATTCGCTGCTATACAAGGGGCCCTGAAGCTTAAGTTTCCTTAGTTTCATAGGAGATCAGCCACTAACTATTAATTGCTTCTGTTCACTTGACAATGAAATATCTCTATGCTTGAAAAAAGCAACAGTTTGTCTACTTTAAAAGACTCTGTATAATCACAGAGGGAGACTGAAAAAGAACACCAAGGTTGAAGTGTACAATGAATGTCTGCTAACATGTCTCCCATAATCATATGAAGTATGGGTAGTGTCCTGGAGATATCCGAAACAACTCAAGCACTTTCATTAGTATAGCTTAAGATCAATTATAGGTATCCACTGGATAACCCACATTTTAGGCACAGAAATCTTGGAGAAAGCAAATATGATCAGTATTGAAGCACACATTCATCAGCATTGACTTCATTGGGTGGGTCATATGGATTAGTGATGACTGCATTCTTAAGCATCCTTCAATTTGGAACTGCCTGTTGGTTCCCATCCACAGCATAAGCTGAAGAAATAATTCAAAAGATTTTATCAAGGATTCACTAGCACTGTATAAAATTTATGCTCCCAACTGGGAAATGGTAGTGCATACTAGAAGTAAATAAATGTCACAATGAACATTTGGTTGTAAAGGAAAGGAACAAAAAAAAGGATTAAAATTTTATCAATGGGTATTGGTCAAAATTCAGAATATATACATATTTATGTGAAAGGTGGTAAAATTTGTTCATGTATGGTTCTTTAGTTGCTGTTGGTAAGGAGGGTAATTAGGTGTAAGGTTGTTGTCAGTAGGGCCAGGAGTTGACTAATTTCTTGGCTTGACTGGTCAGGGTCAAGGTTGGAGTCAGGAGAGGTCTGGAGCAGATTAGTGAAGTTAAGCATGGTGTCATTGGTGGAGTTTGACATACACACTTCTTCATGGTTGAAATCAGCACTAGTGAAGTGTTTGATGAGCCAATATTTTTCTGATGTTGAAGCTAAACTGTGTGTTGCCAGTGTGGATGATTCGTGGTAATGCCTGGTAAAGTGTGTTCAGCGGGTAAATTGTTCGAGGCCATGGTGGTGGGTTGATTTCTGGCAAGGCATATTGGTGGGTTATGGTGGTGATGAGGAGGAAGGCCTGGAGTTCTTAGCAAAGGTTGATTGAACACAATGTCTCTGTTGGATTCTGGTTAAATGTGTTATCAATGAAATGGGGTCATGTTAGGGACAACAAGGGAGTCCTAGAGCTGGATAGTGAAGAAATTGAGGTATTAGAAATCACAGTGGTGGTGTCAGGAGACTGGTGGTATTGAAGCTGGCCTGTTGGCTAGATTCGGCATGTGATGAGTTGGGTGATATTAGTGAAGCAATCATGATGGTGATGGCAACAGTGCATCTGCATGTCGGCCGGTTGCTCTGAGGGGCTTTCTGTTAAGCAAATCGGGTGATGCTCTGGGTCATCTTTTTTCAGTGGAAACATTAGTGATTGGCTATTGTATTTTATTGCAGGGATTTGCTTTGTAGACTGGATGTGATGCTTGGAGCCCTTGCACAAAAAATAATCTTTTTATTTTGTGTTTTGCTTTCTTGGTGTTCACATCCAGTTGACATGTAGTCTGAATCAGAAAAAGATCTAATTTCAGCAGAGTATAACATAGAGAAAAATGATGTATAGTGGATCTTGTTACTTCCAAGACAACACAAATATCTGTGCTAAAACCAGGGCCTGTGCAAGAGTCTCATACCCGCTGAATCTATGATACAAGGGTGCCCATTCTACTACATCTCAATTTTCATAAAGGAGTGTTCATATAAAATACAAATATTATTGTAACCTAATTATGTACTATAATGGATCATATGTAATATAGAGGAACAATTCAACTAGAAAAATTGAAAATAAATACAAATTAGAGATGTGTCATAAAAGATCATTCCATCTTAAATAAATCAAGAATGTTTTGCGGGAAATTTTAACATTAACTTGAAACATTCACATTCAACATTATGAATAAAAAATAATGAATTTTATATATTGTTTTTTCGAGACATAGAATGAGCAAAACAAATTCACAGATTTGAACAAAGAAAAGACCCCAGAATGATCCACAAAAAAAAAATCCACAAAAAACTGTCATCCTTTAATAGTCAGTAGGGTTTAGTTCAATTTGTAATGTATATAAATGTAAGTAGCAAAAAAGCAAATGTTGATAAGATAGCAAGGGGCAGTCAGGCTCCACCCCCTTGGTTGGGTGGTGGGCAGGGGTAGTACACATTAACCCTGGCTAAAACAATGAGAGCAGCCATAAGAGGTGATAATATAAATCCAGATGTGTTTAAGTGTGTCTACCAACAATGTGGTTAAGTCTATTTGTCAAACACAGGCCTAACCAGTCATTGGTGTAGCCATGCTGGCAAGACATTAATCAACTATGACTGAGCTGTGATTAAAATATTCCCTAATCTGGAATGATTTCTGGGTATTTATGCAAAAGATAGTGATACAGACTCCCCATGGATAAAAGACCACTGAATAAAAGCGTTGGTTGAGTGATCCTAAAAGTAACTTGACCCAAACAATAGTTCAATAGCTGGCCACAGCAGAGGGGAAAAAAACTTAGAGAGTTGAGTTACCAAGGGAAATTAACTGAAACTGAGATATGCAAAAAAAAAAGCATTTTATGTGGAATTAGAACAATCTAATGGTTCAAAATTCCAACTGATATCTCCTGAAGAAGGCTGGAGTGTAAATCAACTGAACAGTTGTGAATATGGCAATAAAGATAAGGACAACAGTCTGAACAATGTAAATAGTGTAAATAGGTACAGAGACTCAGTTGAAATTTGAACTTGATATGTCACTCCCATGTTCTTCATTGATAACCTATATGCTTTCTGTATATCCAAAAAAATTCTAATTGATTACTTGGCTGGCTGGTTTGTTTTACAACATGTCAACTTTTGTTGGGCTACTTAATATCGAATTTTGTATTGGACACTACTCAGTAGTAACAGTGAACTAGGTTAACTTTGCAAACTATTAGCCCATAGTGAGGCACCAAATGCTCATTGACACAGCTCTAAAGGCAGAAGTGCACAAAAATCACTATTGATTTGTACTTTTCACTTTCACAGTCAATATTGCAAGCTTTTTGATACTCTTATACTATTTCCAGAGAAGGAGTAAATAGGCTTTCTTATTGTCTGGTTCACACTCCTCCCTCGTCTTTTGAACATGAGCAGAGGTTTATTCCCTGTTCTCTGTTTAGTATTGGGTTTCCTGTTCCTTCTAAATTTTACTTCAATTCTATGCTTCTAACGTCTCTACCTGAATTCTGAAATTTTATTCATTAATAAAATCTTGACGTCTTCAAGTCAAGAATTAGCTGTTATCTTTTCCTGCATAGCCCTAAAAACTTAATTTCTTGTCCTTTCTTATGGTAATACAACTCCACACTGTAACCCTCTACCTTGGGTGGCTCTTGGGCCTTGTATTGGGTGAACATTATTAAAAAAAACAAAATCCTTAACAACAATCATCTGACATGTGAGAAGTGACAGCAAACGTCAATCTGGCCTAAGAAGAAGATGTACCGGGCTCTAGTTCTGATGAAGGCTACAAAGAAACGACACTGCCAGAAGATCTTGTTTGCTATGTCTATGGAAAAGTATGTAAATCAGATTCGTTTAACGAATAGACAACCATCATGCATGTAAATATGTAGGTTACTTTTTCAATAGGAAAGAACTTTTTGGAGGCTACGGGAAGTGACGTCATTGATAAACGAGTGTGTGCTGCATTCACTTTTAATATGGCGGCTGTTGCAGATGATACACTTTCGGCGCTTAGCGTTGTTTGTTCATATGGTAAATATTTATTTCACATCAATTCCCCAATGCTTAACCTATATTTCCCAATACTTCTGCATTCATGATACATTCGCTCCCTTATATTAAAAAAGTTATATCAACTAAACAATCATTTCTCTCTAGTCTCACCTCATGTGTTTTGTTGTCATTTTCTAAAATGCCATGTGATTTTCACTTCGACAATTTCCTAAGCCTTTTAATTTTAAATATATATATATATATATATATATATATATACTTAATATTAAAATATAGCTTTAGTTCCTTAAATTGTATTTAATTTATTTAGCAACATGATTAACCTTGTAGATATAGAGAACAAATATTCAGAAATCATACACAAGAAATAGTTATTTACAATACATTGTTTATTTGTGAGAAAGAAAAGAAAACGATATTTCATTTTTTTTTTTACCTAAGAACTGACAATTGTTGAAAATTACTTAATACCTTTTCGTTAGCTTAAAATATGCATGTTTTATTTTTATTTAGTTATAAAATAAAAGTTTAATTTACAACCTGACGCCGAGTTTTAAAATAATTATTAAGTCTTCTTAAATATGTTGTTGCTTTCTTCTTTGTCGCCCTTGAAAATTGATGAACCAAACAAAACTGGACACTAAAAACAAAACACCGTTTACCGGACACATTGTCCTAAGACAATATTGAATATGAATTGAATAATAAAAAACAGTTGATTGACTAAATGAAATAAAGGCCAATTGACTAAAACAAAACAAACAGTGATGCAATGTCATCACAATATTTTGACACCTTACTAAACTTCTATTTTAAATTACTGAAAGTGGATAGTAATATGGGACAGCTTATCTTGTTTAAATTATTAATTGTTATGTTTAGTTTTATTTTTTAATTACAATTTTTCGCCACAAAATTTTCAGCACTACGTACTGTGTACAAAATGTTTGTCAGTTTCATTTTTAGTCAGACATCGTCTTCTTCCTCCTGGGCCACGTGCTTGGTCATTATTGGCAGTCAAGCTCTTTAATTTTTTTTCACCAGAGTAGAAAAAAAATTCAACTACGACAATATCCAGAGTCAGTATATTCAAACTAAAAATGATTATCTTAAATGAAAAATAGATTCATCATAAAAGATCAAAGTGACATCGCAGTTTAGTGGGTTTTTTTACACTTGGTCCGGTGGTTAAACTTTAAGATTAGAGAAGTTTTACTGTTTACTACCACAAAGTCCTGATTAGATGGCTCTGTCTCTGTGCCCCGTTCGAGATTTAAAAAAAAAAAAAAAGGTATCAGTATCCGTGTTTTTTTTTTTTTTCGACTTCAACCCTCAAGGTTAAGAAGATGGATTGGGTCATTAAAACACTTTCTTTATGTTCTTCGTTTATATGCCCTGTCCATTTGATATGTATGCGATCACGACCCTCTACAGCTTTCTGTTCTTTTAATAACTTTTAATTCTAGTCTACCTACCATCATAACTATTTGTCCCCGCTCCGCCAGCCATTCACACAAACTGTTTGTAAGTTACAAAGAGTAACCGGGACAATATTTTATGTTGAAAGAGAAAATATAATTGTTGAGAGTAGAACTTGATCAGTACATTGATAAGCTACCAAGATATTTTCTTTTGTCTTTTTCCGAATAGAAATAGTTAAAGAATACTTGCTTCCTTCACCTATTTTATACAACATTGAATATAATCTTAAAATTTTGGACTAGCGGCTAGCCTTTAAAAATGCATAAAAAAAAACATCTTTTGAAGCTTTTTTTTAGTTTTAATTTCAAGCTAAATTTAATATTTCCAATAAGCAAAATACTTTTGTTTTGTTGTTTTGTATTTCAAACTGAAATTAAATTCTTTGGAATGAGATTTTTTTTTTATATAATCAGTAAAATGCTCAAATCTGACAAATCTATCAACACAAAACACAAAATAATTCTCTTTATTATAAACGTCTTTTATCTTAGCCCTTCGCGATTCCCTCCACGTGACCAAGGGCCGACGTCATGTCTTCATGACCTTGATCTTTTCATTGCGTCCACACTTCCTTCAATTTAAGTTCATTTAGTTTCATATCATAATATGATTTTTTAGTTCTTTCTGTGCCACAAACCTAATTGGAATACACTTTGTGAACATTTTTATATTTTGTAGCACCTCTGGTTTATTTTCCTTGAGATTTTAGTACTTTGCAGAACCAGTTAATGTTAAACTCCCTTTTCATATAACCTGGTGACTTCTCACCAAACCCAAGGCAGAGAAGGAGGAGGAAGAGAAATGCAGGCCCTTGGTCCTCACTTGGATGGGTTATGTATCAAGTTATATTCTCATTTTTTTTTGTTTGCCAACTGGATGTTGGTAGGGCTATACTATCATTTCATAGGGAGGCACGCTGGAGTAATGGATAGTGGCTCAGATTGAGGAATGGGAGAGCCAAGTTTAAATTCCAGTCAAATCCATTACATTCATACTAATACCCTTGGGAAAGGTATGAATCCTCTTCTTCTTCCCCCAGCTATATGTAAATAGCAGGACCGATTTGTCTCTATAGCCTTGGATGGCAACTGGTCTATTGCAGAAAGAAATGACAACCTACTGCAGAAAAAAAAACTGCTTCGTCAGTCATGTATTGAAAGATACATGATTGCCTAAGCATGTATCATGCATAGCACATAACTGGCTGATCCTTTCTTACTCTTGCCCTTTATTATTTCTGGCTACTACAGATTCCTGTCTTCCAGCATCTTGCTTCCAGCACTCTTGGCCTTTACTACTTCTGGCTACCATGGACCCTTATCTTCCTGCATTTCTGGCTTTTATTACTTCTGGCTACCACAGATTCTGACTTCTGATTTTACTTCAACCTGACTCACTTGGTTGATCAGCGTTAATGAACATTGCTTACAACCTGAACTTCTGTCTACACTAGGTCCCTGCATCCGGATTTCCTGTCAACCTAACTCACCTGGTTTAGGAAATCACTGCAGGTATATCGTCCAAACTCAAATAACCTATTCAGTACACTTCGGTTATAATACTATGAAAGGTTCGCCATTGGAGTTGACCAGCAGCTACACAACACCAGCACTGGACATTGGATTTGACCAGCAATGCCAGCACTGGACATTTAAATGGAACTTCCTTCTCTTTGGCTATATTGTCCAGACTTCAAATAACTTACTCCATACACTTTGGTTAAAATACTATGGAAGGTTCATCATTGGATTTAACCTGCAACTTTTCAACACTTTCACCAGACATGTGAATTTAACATTTCAAACTGTGGACTTACATGCCAGCTTAACCTACAAGGACTCTGATCTATATTCTAAATAAAGTTTGCATTAATTTTAAATATCCTTGTCTGTTGTCTATTTTTGTTCCCCTGTCAGATTTCATGTCTTTAATTTATAAATGTTAGTGGGCCTCCTGTAACTATCTTTATTTGGGTGCACAGGCTGGGGCCTATTACACTTTCAAAAATAAAGTATACTTTTCTGAAGCTTTATTTGAGGAAGATAAACTGATTTATAGATTAATTAATCTGATTTGAAACAAATATTTCTTACATTTAGTTTAAGATATTCTAGAAAAGCATTTTTTAACATTAAGTTAGTGTTTTTATGAGGTGTTGACAACTTTCCCAATAGAAAAGAATTCCTAAATATAAGTCTAAGAGGAAATAACTAACATTTACTTGATGAATATAACATGAAAACCTTTTTTATAACTTTATTTAACTACTCAGTAATCTTAAAATTTTAAGAAAATATTTTATTGAATTTTAGGTATTTTGCTTTATAGACTTACAGACATTTGTTGAAGAAATGTTAGAAAATTGTCAATAAATTTTAACTTTACTACAGCTACTGCTCTTATTTGCTGATAATGTTTGGATGCTTGTATTTATTTAAACTGACATATTTATACACACATAAATTCAAAATGCTTTTTAAATTATTTGGTGTTGTTGAATCGTAGTAAGCTCTTCCATTTATGATTAGTAAATAAGGTTTTAATTTAATAACAATATTACTTGACTGCTACAAATTAATACAGAATTTTAAAAGTTTATAAATTATTCTAATTAAAATTTTATAATGAAAAAAATTGTTGTAAAAATTCATTATTCATTGAAAAAAAATTATTTTTCTAAAACAATAGTGTCCCTAATATATTTTATACATAAAAGCTTTTCTATTTAAATAATGTCTTAGTTTTATTGCATTTTTTATTTTACGATTCAGAGCAGATTTTGTGTAACTAGGGTCTTGTTTGACCAAAAATAATTCATGATTTAGATTCTCTGAAGACTTTAACTAATATAAACATTAAGCACTGCTAAAAAAGAATTTCTTGAAATTTCATAAGATTAAATGTGGCGGTTTAGCAAATGTAAAAAAAATAAACAAAAAAACATTTTTACAAAGATTTTGTAAAAAAAAAAAAAAAAAAACATTTCAAAAATAATTTAATTCATTTGTGGACAAATCCTGAAAGTTTCATTAAAATTTGACAATTATCTGATTTTTGCAAGAATTTCTAAATCTGCGTTTTGCACTGCAAAAAGATGCTCACTTTTTCATACTAATTTATGGTAGAGCATTGACACTGGAGAAACAAGATTTTTAACGAAAATTTTGAAGGTTCTGAAAAGGACTTAATAAAAAAAAGTTTTACGATCTTTCCTCTTAATAATAAAAATTTTGGCAATAAAACATTGTTTTTAAGTTTCAGACTATTTTTTTTTCATCATGTATGCTCATTTTTTAGCAAATTTTTGGAGATACCTATTTAGATCTCTCTTCACAATCAATGTTGATTTGCTGAAAATATATAGGCTGTTAAAACTCAAAGCAATTTTTGCACATATCCATCAATACATCATGAACAACCAAAATACAATTATCAATATAAGTTGAATATTCATGGATAATACCAAAATACTACACAACATCCAGTGCAAGGAAAGATTCAGAAGTCTAGAAGCTATTATTATACAAAAAAAACACACATTAAATAAATATTTAATATGCATTAAAAATGTATAATATTAATGCATTTTTTTTGGTGTGATCTTGCTGCCCTAAACTGTTACACATGATGTCATTATGGACTATTTTAAGCATTCAGCTTTCTCAAGAATACTAGGATGTTGCCTACAGAATTTTGCCTTTCATGTGGATAATACATGGGTTTTGAAAATGATGGAGGTGGATGAAATTACTTGAACAAAACCAACTTTGGATAGTTCATTTTTTTTAATTTTTTTTTTTTTAATACTAATGTTCACCTAATAGAAGGCTCAAGAGCCATTCAAGGTAGAGGGTTACTGTGTGGTGTTATATTAGCATAAGAAAAGGGAAGAAGTGAAGCTATTGAGGCTATGCAGGAAGGATAGCAACTAACTCTAGACTTGAAGAGATCAAGAATTAATTAGTGAAAACATTTCCGAGTTCACTCAGAGATGTTAGAAGTAATATTGTGGAAGTAGACTTTGGAAGGAACTGGAAACCCAGTTCTAAACAGGAAACTGGATAAACCTACTGTTCAAAACATTAGGCAGGAGTTGAACTGGACGATTGTGGCATATCAACCTCTAAGTTATTTAATGCTAAAATCTAAATATTTTGTATGCAATCTTATTTTATTATTTAAGATAATAATGGTTTTAGTGATACAAGTCTTACCAATTAATCCATAACTGGGGGAGGGGAGCAATGCATTCATATCTTTCCTAAGAGTATTTGTACGTAAGTAAATATAATGACCCCAACTGAATTAAAACTCGGCACTCCAATTAACAATTCTGAGCCATTATCAATTGCACAGTCCACACATCCAAACTTACAGCACCTGGTATTCCCAAGCGATCACCCATCTTGGTACTGAACAGGCTTGATGTTACTTCAGTGATCAAATGGGAACCAGTGTTTCAAGTTAATTCACGATTTTGATCTGAATATGCAACATCTTATTTAAAAATTGGAAAAAATACAGTAAAAGAAATTAAACAGGCAGAACTTGTCAGTTGAATTTAATCAAACTTGTTTGGACAAAAGTTGCCTAAATACTTGTTTGTTTTTGTTTTTGTCAATTGCATAGTATAGTAGGGTCAGTTGGGTTCCATTTGTGAAAAAAAAGAGCACCATGATGCAATTCATGCTGCCAGAAACTCCAATATGAACATTTCAAAGTGCTTGAGTGTCAATATGAAGACAATGCAGAGGCTTTGGCAAGAGTTGGGTGAGTCTAATGGTGATTATGAAGGTACAGCAGCTCAGAAATCTCACTCTGATCATTCTGATAAGAAAAGAACTCCCAAATTTGTTGGTGAGGGCCTTGGACTTAATACTGAGCTCTACATCAAGTACCTTGAGGAAGTAGTGCTTCCCTAGGTCAAAAGGGTGGCTTCTGGAAGACACTATGTCTGACAACAGGACGTTGCACCATGCTACACAAGCAGGAGAACCCAGTCATGGCTGTCAGATAATTTCTGTGACCACATCACCCCTTACATCTAGCCACTTAACTCTGCAGACTGCAATCACTTTGATTATTATGTGTGAGGCACAGTTGAACAAGAGACCAACAAAACTCCTTGTAACATCAAAGATGAACAGAAGGCAATGGTTATAGCAGCATTCATCAACTTAAACAAAGAGACTGTCCAGAATAGTTGCAGGAGATTCCAAAGTCATTTGGAGACCATGGTTGAAGCCAATAGGTGATTTTAATGAATAAATTTATTTAGTATTTCAATATATTTTTGTTTAAATTTGGTAAAAATGTATCTGTTGAAATGAGATGTTGGTGTTATTTGAATTTTTGTGTAATTTAGGTGACAATTTATTCATCGCATCCTCCACTTATATATATATATATATATATATATAATCTCGGAATTAGAAATTTCATGTAGTTCAGTCTAGTAACTTTGAAATTTGATGAGAAACCACCTTAGATTTTGACAATGTTTTAAAAGAATTTTTAACGATACAACAGTACTCTAGGCTTATTAAGGGATCAAAATATAAAGAACTTATTGGAAATATTGTAAAAATGCTGAGATATATGTAGGTTTTTTGATGGAGATATGAATTCTGATCTCAGACTTTATCAGTGAGATCTGCACTTATTTCAAACCTTTATTTATTTAAGAAATGTCTCTTGGATTCCTCAGTCAGTTGTGTAGTTTCATATCCTACCCAACTCAATTGGAGCACTTTGGTTTCCTTGTTCACAAAACAACTGAGTTTAGCTACTATATTTACTGGAAGAGAGATACCCTCAAATCCCAGCGACAAACTATTCTGAGATGATCTCCAAAACTTCTGCTCATGGATGTGCAGGTGGTATAATGGATAGTGGCTTAGAATAAGAAATCTGAAAGCCAGAATTGTTACATTCATTTACATGCAAATACCTTAGGAAAAGTTCATCTCCCTCCCCACCGGTTATGGGTTAAATAGTAGAAGTTGTATCTGGAGAAATCATCATTATCCTGAAAAAAAATTGTTAATGCAATATTCACTTGCAAAAAATAATTCTTACAATCCAAAATATGTTTTGGTTTTAAATAACCCACAAAAAGGGTTGATAAGCCATAAAAAACAAATCAAATTATTACTTTCATGTACTCTCTCCCTCCCACTTCTAAGTAAAACTTTGATTTCGCCCCTCCCACTACTCTCCTGTGGCAGAATCCTTTTTGAATCTATTCAACCAGCTGAAATAAATGATTATTCTTGTTAATGGTTTAAAGTCCATAGTCAGAGAATATTACTAGAATTTATGTTAATACATAACCAAATGTGTAGAAATGCAGCAAGATACTTTTTGTATGTTAAACTGCTAATATTTTTTTGTCTGATATATAAAGAAGGAAATAATTTTAAAAAACTGTTAGAAAAACATTGATCACATTGCAGAGGTTGTACAAAAGCTTTTGACCCTTTTATAAGTATTTGTTGTTTCAATTGTTTTTTTTTTTTTAATACAAAATGTTCTATTTTCGTAGGTGTTAAGAGACTTCAGGTCAATGTTGCACTTCCAGAGAATGAGACAGATGGGAACCTCACATGCAGACACCTTTTTAATGCTATCCAGGAAGCCTCAGGAGTTCCTGTTGACAGACAGAAATTAATTTTCAAAGGTGGATGAATATCGCTTTTCAAAATATTGATAATTACAATTACTTTATTAAAACATTTTAAAGAATGAATAAAACATTGTTTATAGCATTTTTATTGTTTTTAGAACATTGGGTATGGGAGCAAGTTGATGATGCATCTTTTGTTTATTATGAGAGAAAAAAATAACAATGACAATCATTTCTAAATGGAAAGGCTATATGATAGGCAATTCTTTTTTCCTTTGTAAAAAAGGTAAAGATAGGATGATCAATTTGCTTTTCTTGTTAACATAAGATGAAAATAGTAATGTAAATTGCAGCTTGTATTTATTCATTGGAATCCATGCCACTGGCTGACTTTGTTTTCTTTCTTCTAGGACGATCTCTGACAAATTCTGATGAGTTGCTTTCAAATCTGAATATGAAAAATGGCTGTAAACTGATGCTGATGGCCAAACCTGTTAGTATATTCTGACTCTCATTGTCTGTCTTCTGATACCACTTAAATGTTGCTTTCATTTCCAGGGATAATAAACTTTAATAAAACTGGGTTTTTGTTTGTGTGACTGTTACATTAAAAACTTTAAAACTACTTGATTTTTTTTTTTGTAGAATCATTGAGGCTGTAAGAATTAGAACTTTTTCTTATTACTTCAAGTGTATAAAATCTTGAAATTTAGAATTGAATGTTCTAAACTGAAATTACTATAAACATATTTAGTGTGTACAGGTGTTTGAGTAAAATTCCTGTTTTTTTAAACACTGAAATTTAATATCTACCAGCATGAAGGTCAAACATTTTATTAAAGGAAATCTGCCTCTGAACAGGAATTGAAACTGTAGCCCCCTTAATATGTGAGACCAACTTCAAGCCAAGCATGTTTTACAGCTAAGTCATTACAGTAAAGTATGGTTCACTTATTCCATTTAAGAAATACACATCTCCAGTTGGGAGCTTTGGAGTCTGCTAAATTTATTTTCAACCCTGAAATGTAAACAAAATAATTTTTAAGCAATTAATGAAATTTTTTAATCTGACATTATTTCATATAACTATAATGGCTACTCATAGCATATAGGTAAAGCACACTGAACTTTTTTTTTTTTTTTTAATAATTTCAGTCCAAGCAAAGTAATAAAGCCACTAAGATGTAAGTGGTTACTGGGTGTGAGAGAATATAAGAAAAATTAATTGGGATGAGGGAACAACAAAAAAACAGGAATTAAGAAGACAGAAGATAGCGGTTGACATTATATTTAAATTTTTGAAGATCAAAGTTGACTGGAAAGTAAGATGCTGGGAAGAGAGTTCCACAATCAAGAAGTGCAATAGAAAAAGATGGTTACATCTAGTCATTTCAACTGTAAAATGATGAGACCTTGCTGCCAATCTAGTACTGTGTTTAAATCATAAATTCTAGGTACCAAAGAGGAAAACTCATCAGAACAATTACTATGAAAATATTTGTAGAAAAGGAAACAGTGGTGGGAAAGTGAGTGAAGCTGAGATGCCAGGCTAGGACCAAAAACATTGCAGATTCTTTGTATTTTATCTAGAATCTCTAAATACACAGCAGAAGCACTAGATGTGATAGCAATGTTCATTTCATTGTTAAAAAAACGAGCGACTACTCAAACATATGTATCTGATAAATATAACATTTATAGTAATAAGAAATAATGTTGCTTAAAAATAACTAATAATTCTATGGCTGTATGTGTGTGTGTTTTTTTTTTTTTTTAGGTTTAATTGGGAGAAAATATCACTGATATCTGATAAGAAAAATAATTGATTTAACTCTGTCCCTTTAAAATATTGATCTGTTGATTGTTTTATTTGGTTCTTTTGTATATGGGGATCAGACAAAATTAGTCCAAAAGAATTAGTGTTAATTTTAAATGCCATATTAATTAGGAAATAGATAATCTGGAAGATGTCTTATTATATTTTCCCATTACTAAGCATTTCAATTATTTTTCTTTTATACATACAACCTTTTGTATAACATTTGAATTTGAAGCTTAACTTCTGTTTGTTTCAGACTTAAACATGAGAGAACATTATTGGGATTTGTGTTAATACATTATCAACTGTGGGAAAATACATAAATTCAGGCAAAAATTCTGTTCAGTTTAAATTGTTAAGAATACACAATGAGCTGTGCTGGATTTACACATGGGCTGCAACCCAGGATCCCCAAGGTTAGAAAGACCCCTGATATAACTAAAACTAAATAAATAAATAAAGATATAAGGAGATTTGTTTATTTTCAGGTTTAATGGGTTTCCTTTGAACAAATTTGTAACAGTTTGGAGTGTCTGGTCTCCTCTAGTTGGAGTGGGTCTTTTAAATTTGATTTAAAGGTGGAGGGCAAACATATGTAATGAAGAGGCTCCCAAATTCTATTAGCCCATGGGCCTCTTAAGGTCTAAATTTGGTCCTGACAATGAGCAAAATATTTTCTTTCCTCCACTTCAAAAAATACTTGTCCATACTAAAATGATATTAAAATTTTTTTAAAATTTAAAATTAGACCAGATGAACTGTCAAGAGAAAAAACTGCTAATTTAAATAAGTTTTCTTTTTCTGATGTAAGTCTGTGACAGAATATTACAGTCTTCATGGTCACTTGAATTTAATTTAAAAATATTGAAAATCTTCAAATATTTATTAAAAACATTTTATCAAAACAATTCAGTTCTGTAACTGGTACTAAGATATTGAAGTGTTCATGAGAAAATAAGATTAATCAGTAAAACTATTTTTGTGTCTTGTCTTTCTTTTTTGTTTTAATTTTATCGTAGATATTTTTTCTCTTTACTTAAATTATACAGAAGAATTCTGTAATAGAATCACCTGACCAGAAGGCCTTGACGGATATTAATAATTATATTGAAAAGCAGGAAAAAAGCTTACAGGAAGTTTCACGCTATGTAACTGGGTTGAACCAGGTAAGATAATTCTTGAATGTTACACATTTCCAGAGGAAGGGAGACTGTTTCTTTAAAACTGATTGTTTTAATCATGCACACATGCATATAGTATAAAAATAAAGAACAGTAATACAGCTAATGGTTATTTAGAAAATTAGACATGCAATAAATGAAAAGTGGTTAATGAATTTTTATACATATTTTAGTAAAATAAAAGAATAATTCTAGCTATAATAATTCTAGATATGTAAAATTATATAATTTAACTTATATCAAGATGAAGAAAATTTCTGCTAATAAAGTGCTCGATATTTAGCTAGAGCAGTAATTATTGAATTGGAGATAATAATGTTCAATAGTTATCAATTTCAATTCCAAGTTTTATAATTTTAGCAATCTTCACTTGTCAGGATCTTCAATAAGAATGATTGCTTTGATTACAGAAAGTCTACTTTATTATTTTATAAACACTTATTTTTATATACTGATTTTCAAATTTCAAATCAATTTTTTCTTTTTATGTTTGTACATTTTTATAAATGTAAAGAAAACTAATATTCAAAATTACCATTTATCTCCTTAATAATATAAATGCTTATATTTAATTATATTATTGACTTGAAACATATCAAACTAAAATTATAACATTAAAAATCTATTCATATTTAATTGATTTTATTAAATTATTAAGGGTTTTATTTTTATTTTTATTTTTTTTTCAATATGAATAATCTACATAAGCAAATATTGAATCAGATTGACTTGCCTAACTGGGATTTAAATTTTATTGTTTATTGAATATTAGCTTACACAGATATACATTAATAAAAAGAAAATGCTTGTATTTTTTTTTTTTTTTACTTTTGTAAAAACTCATACATAGAACCAGCTGTTGATTATCAAAAAGTGTATTTCAAACAAATTTAATTAATCTAAATCCACTCGTATTGAAGTTATTTTTTTTTTAACTCCTCTTTGGTGTTATCTTTGTTTTTTTTTGTTTTGTTTTTTATTTTTTGAAAAGCTGAAGTTTCTTAAGTTTTCAATAGAGCAAACATGGTAGTTATTGAGAAAATGACATACTAACTTATAATTTGTAATTTATAGCAGGGATGTTACAACAAATTTATATTAATGATTATAGTTTTTATTTAGTTATGAAACCTGATTCAATAATGTCTGCAAAGTATTGTTCTGGGTCTTTAACTGTTGCAGTTTAGATCACATATTTTTGTAATAGGTTATGAAAGCTCCCTTGTAAGTTTAGCAGTTTTCAGTACTATGCCTCCCTGCTATCTCAACTAAGTTTTGATATTCTCTATTTTCCTTTCTTTCATCACAAGCCAATCGTTGGTTCAGAAACTCTGGTGTGGTGATCAGGCAGACTGTGCTGTGTCATATGATGCTGAAAACAATCATAGATCTATGGTATTAATTACCTTGATCGACAGACATTGAAAAAAACTGTAATGGCTTAATGGACGAAATGTTGTGATAATAAAAACTAAGATGAGGACATTAGTCCGACTGAAAATAATAAAATAACTCTACATCCTAGAAATTTAGATAAAAATTTTACCCTCTCGAAAAAAAAAAATAAAGAAGTGTGTAATTAAATCTAAGGGCAGTAACTCCCTATTGGTAAACCATAATTATTTCCCTTGAGGTTTTACTCTTTCTATAATAAATTATGACGTTGGATCAATACGTCCGTTGCCTAACATGTAGTTATTGACGGAATCTTTTTTATTAAACTTTTACTGCATGAATCTCGATCTGTGTGATCAATATTCACTACTGATTTGTACTCATAAAGATAAAATAAATGAAGAAAAAATATATAACAATAAAATCTAATTAAAATTTAATTTAATTAAATTTAAGTTTTATATTTTTTCAAAACTGCCGATTTTGTTCTTGGCTTCTTCATAGGAAAGTAAGAAAAAAATAATTGAATGAAGCAGACGATCTTAAATTATAGAAAATATAAGACCAAAATATAAAGTTCACAGATAAAATCTTTATTCTAACAAAAACAATTTCATGCATATTGTTTCATATGCTAAATATACAGCAACAAAACAATAATAAACACAAAGGATTTACTACTTACATAAATAATTTTGCCAGTCTAAAGAAAATATTATTCTTTAAACTGACAACTTAAACATCTTTTTTTTCTTTGACCTTTCTTTTTTTACAGACAAAATTAATAAATCCTTTTCTTCTATAAGATGAGAGATAATTTCTTCTAATACATTTATCTTCTTTTTCTCTTTTTTTGGAGCTGAAAGTGAAAAATAAAAAACAACACTTAAGATCAAATTTTAAGATAAATATCTATTTAAAATATTTTAAAATCGTATTTTAAATAGAGAACGAGAATGGGGCAGAATTCCCTGCATCGAATGACTCTGCCAAAAAAATATTGACTCTCTGAGTCAACAATACAAATAAATCCAAGGCAATAATTCCTCTTCTTGGGAATAAAATTACCTCTTCCAAATAAATGTCTAAACTCTATCTTAGTCAAACTTGAAATAAATCTCAAAACTTATAAGCCGCAAAGTACCTTTGTTATCTTTAACAAACATCTACATTTGTGTCAATACCTCAATAAACCTTATAAGTCAAAATAAAATATAACTTTTCTCAAGTTATAATAAACAAATTTTAACTTTGGAATTCTACCGAAACTAATAAAAAATCTTTTCTACAAAGTCACTTGATACAAAAACTCGCCATCCCTAAATAAAATCAGATAGATAGCAATTAAAAAGTTATAATTGATATTAAATCTAAGGAAAATAATTCAACACTGTAAGCTGAATATTCAAGGTATTTTACGGAAATTAGTTTACCACAGAGCCAAAACACAAAGCAACTTAATCAACCAAGAATAAATTTCTGACTGAGGATAATATCCTCTGATTAAAAGGAGACGCTGTCTCCAGCTTCCAAATCCCAAAAAAGAGCAGCAACAAAAAATTATCGTCTGCTTTGCCATCAGACGTCTATCTTTCAAAATATCAATACATTAAATATTTCATTACTGAAGTTATTGAAATGTCTTCAATATATATATATATATATATATATATATATATATATATATTCACTCACTCTATATTAATATACACCCTAAATCAAATCATCCCCGCCATCTATAATTAAGCATATACCTTTATCTACCCGAAAAAGAATAAGTACAAATTCAACAAATGACAAGATTTTCAATGAACATATTAATTTCTATAATAAAGCTCTAAAAGATAGTGGCTACAAAACCCCAAAACTAACTTATATTAAAAATAAAAATGGAAAGCATAGAAAAAATAGAAGTAGAAAAATAATTTGGTATACGCCCCTATACAACCAAATGGTAAAGAACAAATTAGGACAAAAATTCCTCACATTAATAGTCAAGCATTTTTCTAGTGAAAGTAAACTAAGTACTATTTTCAATAAAAATACACTAAAATTAAGTTACAACTGTACTGAAAACTTAGAAAAAATTATTAAGAAAAATAATGTTAATATCTTAAATAAACACTTCTACCAGAACCAAAAAAAAATTTAGACAATGAAAAAATAAAAACTGATGAGGATAAACAAAAATTATGTAACTGTAGAAACCCTCATAACTGTCCTCTACAAAATAAATGTCACACAGAATCATTAGTATAACAATGCAATAGCTCTTCTATTGAAAATCCTGAAAACATAAAAATATATATAGGTTGCACAAGCCATGAGTTCAAAAAAGTTAACATCAAAGTTCATTTAGGATAAATATAAAAATCAAGCATCTCTCTCCAAAAGTACTTCTGGCAATACTTCCAATAAAACACCTACAGAAGTTAATAAGAAAAAATGGAAGGTCATTAAATGACCCATGTCCTTTTGTACATTCATGAGAAACTAATATTACTAAGTATAAAAATAAAAATTTATGTAGGAAATAGCTATTTTTAATTGACAAATTTTCCTTAAATAATATTTAAAAATAAAATTTCACGAGAAAAAAATAATTTTATATATAATTTATTAACTTGTTTTATAAAAAATTAAAATTTACTGAATCAGAGAAATAAAAAATAAACATCTTTTTAAAAATTGTTTTAAATAAAACATATTCTCTAAAAATTTTCCTTAAATAATATTTACAGTAAAATGAAAAAATGAAAAGCTAAAATGTAAATGACCTGGAAATATTTTACTTCAGAGAAATATATTTTTTGTCATTGTCATAAATTTTGTAAATAATAAAAATAAAATTTAATATATACTTGATATGAAAAAATAATTTTATATACTGTAAGTAATTCTATTACATTTACTTGTTTTATAAAAAATATAGTCTATTAAAATTAACAGTGAAAATATTTTAAAATTGTAGTTCAATAAAATGAATTCTAACCTAAACATCTTTTAAAATTGTAGTTAAATAAAACATATTCTAACCTAAACACCTCTCTCAAAGTACTACAAGCACTTAAAAGAATCCAATAAAACACCTACAGTAAAATGAAATTAATATGAAAAGCTAGAATATGTAGGTCATTAAATGACCCATGTCCTTTGTACATACATGAGAAACTATATATTACTAAGTTTATAAAAAATAAAATTTTACTAAATCAGAGAAATGAATTAGCTATTTTTTGCCGTCATTGTCATAAATTTTACTTAAATAATATTTAAATATAAAATTAAAGAAATGTGACCTGGTAATATACATACTTGATATGAAAAAATAATTTTATATACTGTAAGTAATTCTAATACATTTACTTGTTTTAAAAAGAAATATAGTCTATTAAAAATTAAAAGTGAAAATATTTTAAAATTGTAGTTAAATAAAATGTATTCTAACCTAAACATCCCCCAAAAATCATTAAAGTATACAAATAGAAAAAATGCCATAAGAATTGTTTCTTACTGTGGATGGTGTTGCTGTAGTCTGAAGTGGTCTCTTTGAAGTTTGTCAGCGCTGTTGCTTTTAGTGAAGTTCACAAGTGAGAGTGGTGTAGACCTTGATGACAGCTGTGCATATCCTGTTTGGGCCGGATTTCATGTGTTCTCCATTTTCTCCTCTCCCATCACTTCCTACATGATAATAAATTTACATCTTTCTTTATCCACTCTCTATATATGACTTCTAGCAAACACAAGGAAAAAAAGTTCACAGAGTTTTATAGTAATATATATAAGTATTTATAGATAGGTGTGTAAGGGTAAAGATCCTAGTCTACACTACTATTTAATTCACAGCTACAGTGAAAAGAGTTTCATGCCTTTTCCAAGGGCATTATTTTGAAAATTAACACATCATAGGCTAGAATTTGAACTCTAATCTCCAATTTCAATTTTTTGTGCCACCAATTGCAACACTACCTGCACATTTTTTAAAGGCAACAAACTTCTGTCAAAAATCTTCTGAAATTTAAGTGTATCAGATTCATCACTTGATTGCTTTAATTTTATTTCATAAAATATGTTTAATAGGCATTGGAAAATGACCTGTTCTTCAAAATATTGTTTATTTTCAAGGATTATCTGATATTTCCTCATTTGCAGGAAAATGTTGAAGATATTGATTGGAAGAAAATTGCCGATCAGTTGAAGGTTGCTGATGAGACACTGATGCAAATGCTTGAGAAACTTGACGGGTTAGTTTTGTCTGCAGAAGCCACAGACTCTCGAAATCAACGAAAAGAACTTGTTACCAAAATTCAGGTAGATACCTAATTATTTAGTTTCTTTTATTTTTAGTGAATGGTCCTTAAAATTTTAATTAAATAACCGAAAGTTGAATTCATTTTTAGTGTTGATGATCTCTCTCTCTCAATTAGTCATAACTTATTTTGTTTTGTAGGGAGTGTGTTTCTATTAACTATTTAGTAACCCCATAGTTTTACTTATTTTCCTTAGAATGAGACAGAAGCTTGCCTGTTCCAAATTCTTTTAATATTAGTCACAGAAATGAAGTAAAACTTATAATAGCAACAGTACAGGCATTGTTAGCTATACAACTGGTAATTTAAAAATAGAAATTTAATAGAATTTAAAAACTGAAATATAACTCTGAATCATTCTACTTAGAAAATTTCTGATGAAGCTAAGTAATTTTTTTCCACCTGAAGCAAGACAATAAAGCCACAAGGACACAAGGGATGACAGAGTCTAAAACAATATGAGAAAAAAGAAAAACATCAAGGAGAGAGGACAGTAAAAGAACAAGAATAATAATAATAAAAAAAACAAACAAAAAGACAAAACAGTATAGAATTATTGACATTACTTTTAAATGTTTGAAGATCAAAGTCGACTGGAAAGCAAGAGGTTAGAAGAGGGTTCCACAAGTTAGTAGTGTGAAAGAAGAAAATGTTAGCATAGAATTTAGGGTTATTTCAATTGTAAAATAATGAGATTTTGCTGCCAATCTAGTACTGCACTTAAATTCATAAAGTCTATGTAACATAGAGGAGAGTTCATCAGAACAATTACCATGAAAGTATTTATAGAAAAGGCATAGGGAAGCTATTTTATGGTGGTGGGAAACTGACTGATACTGAAATGCCAGGTCAGGACCAATAACATTGCAAATTCTTCTTTATATTTTATCAAGAATCTCTAAAGCACTAGAGCAAATAAATTAATCACAACTGGCATGACGTCCTGGGTATGACGATAAACTACATCCGAGTCCATGGGTATGACAATAAACTGTATCCACATCCATGGTGATGACAGTAAACTGCATCTGCGTCCATGGGTATGATGGTAAACTGCATCCGCGTCCATGGGTATGACGGTAAACTGCATCCGCGTCCATGGGTATGATGGTAAACTGCATCCGCGTCCATGAGTATGATGGTAAACTGCAGCCGCGTCCTGGGTACGGCGATAAATTACATCCACATACTAGGTATGGCGATAAACTATGTCCAACAGAAAGGCCTTTTTTGAAAAAAAAAATAAGGTTGTTGGCTATACGTTTTCGGGAAAATAGTATTACCAGCTATATGTTTTTGAAGGTATAATGTTGCCAGCAGTGTGTTTTTGGAAAGCGATATTATCAGCTATACGTTTTTGGAAAAATAATATCACCAGCTATATGCTTTTGGAAAAATAATATTACCAGCTATACTTTTTTGAAAAATAATATTGCCAGCTATATGTTTTAAAAAAAAAAAAAAAAGAAGAAAAATATTACCAGCTATACGTTTTTTAACAAAAACCTTATTCAATAGAACTGTAACTGGGGTCAAAACACAGTGAAAGTGTAAAAATGGGTTTTAACTGAGGTAAAAAGCATTATAAAAGTGTAAAAAAGTTTTAAAAAAAGGTTTTATTATTACCAGAAATAAATTTTTGAAGAAAAAAACTATTGCCAGCAATATATTTTTGAAAAAAACTATTACCAGCAATATATTTTTGAAAAAAACTATTACCAGCAATATATTTTTGAAAAATACTATTACCAGCAATATGTTTTGTGAAAAAATAATACTACCAGCAATACGTTTTGTGAAAAAATAATACTACCAGCAATACATTTTGGAGGAAAAAATTTTAACAGAAATAGATTTTTGACAAAACAAAAATATTGCTGGAAAAAAAAAGTTGTTGGCATTAAATGACCCGTTGAGGTTGACATGCCATAAAACAAAACAAACCAAACAAGTGGCATGTAGAAGCAAAAATATCAATAAAAGTTCTATTTAATTTTTTATTTTTATAAGCCATCTGTTATTTCTAGTCATGATGTTCTTGAAGATATAAAAAAAATAAAGTAAATTTTATTGTTACTTGATTAGTCTAATACTAAGATTAATAAAAGCATGTTGTACAATTAAATTTGCTGTGTTTTAAAATTGTCTTCTAATAAAAGTAATTTTAACTACTGTAGGAATATAAGTGCCCTTTTTTCTCTTTTATTAGTCATTTCTGATGAACAAATATTTAAAATTCAACTGTATGTTGCTGTAAATTCTCAACAAGGAAACATTTCAAATTCTCAAAATTTTACATTATATTCCAATTCAAATTGTTTTAACTAGAATTCTTTTAAGAAAATACTTAGAGTGTGTTGATTTATTTTTTTTATAGTGAATTCCTGACCAAAAGAAATAAAAACAAAATTTCAGTCAGTTTCTTACTTTAAATCTTTTACAGATGCAGCTGTTATAATAAACAATGTTTTTTCTCTTTGTTTATTTTTCAGACTCTTTTGAAAGAATGTGATAGGCTCTCTCATCTTAATAAGAACTCCATGAAATAAATCATTACATCAGCACATTGAACTGGTATCCAATTTATACACTGTATATTACTGATGATTTCAAGAAAATAAAGAAAAAATCTTCAAAATATGACTATTGTAATCTAATTGTTTTTGCCTGTTATGTATTAAAATGTTTCTTTTTATGTACTTCTGATATCAGTTGAGTAGCCTAACATTGCTTTTGAAAATGACTGCTTAAGTTGACACTGAGTTTAACAACTGTTATAGTTATTATGATCTATTATTACAACTATTGTGACAAGCCAGAGACAAGATATTATATCTGGTAGCAATGGGACAGAATACAGATGTGGATTCATCCTATTCCCAAGTGCATTAGTACTAAGTGAGCATAATCAGCTATGACTAAAAATCTAAATTTGATTTGCCAAATTCATTTTCCATACCAGTATCTTTTATACTACCTCCATATATTGATTCACTTCTGTTATTTTTAGTCAGCTTATTCTAAGTGTTGTAAATGCATCCAAAACATGTTGATAATCTCCTATAAGTTTTATGTAGGTTTTCTTTCTGTTTAATACCATGTCCTTTCAGGATTTAAGCAATCAGCGACTCTCTAAAATTTATTTTCTTTATTTTCTATGATTGGCCATGACGTCTTAGGAAAGATTGTGATGTAGTCTATATTGTTACTATGAGGAGGTGCTGAAAAGTTTTTGGTTGGACCAAGAAGCTCTTCCCCACCTAGAATTAGATTTTTGGTAGTGGGACAGCCAAGAACATTTTCACATTCTTTGTACTGTAGTCTTTTAAAATCTTATAAAATCTGCACTGTCAACCTGTTAATTTCTGCTAAATTATTTTTTTTCTTTGCCTTATACTAATTTAAAAAATAAGTGGTTAACCTATTGGTTAGGAAACTAACTACAATGAAATTCAATAACTAGTTTTGATTTACTTGGCACAAGGCTTGATTTCTGGGGCATCAATTTGGGAGCAAACACATAGCCCCTTAGAAAGACAGTTCATGTTTAAATCAGTTTGTATGTAAATATTTTCATTCAGATGTTGATGACTGAGCGTTCTAATATTTTTAGATTAAGTTACCTTGGGCACAAAGCCAGAATTGATGAACGATATGTAATTACCTTAATAACAATTCTGACCTCAGAAATAACTTTCTGAAAAAATACTGGTCCAAGGACCAACTGTAAATTGGTTCTGTAATGAATGCTCACTATTCTTTAATTACCTTATGCATATGTATAAGGGCAATGATAAATTTAATACAGGGTTTGTCAAAAGGCACAGTTTAAGTAAAAATAAAAGCCAATTTTTTATTTATTAAGATAGCTTTATTGACCAAACATTTTCTTCCATTATTTTCAACTTTATGATTCTATCCTCATAGAACCTCATCTTTCTTAAGCAAAGAACTGCTTGAGCTGCCTTTTGTAATCTTCCAAAGAACGGAAATTTTCATTTTTATTAATGAAATTTCTATAAAGATATGAATAAATGGTAATTCCCAACTACAATATCTTCCCAAATAAATTGTAACAACTGTTACCTAGTTAACAAAGAAATGGCTAGCAGCTTGGAATGAGAAATTGGTAAGCTGAGTTCAAATTCTAGTTCATTACACTCACTTTTGTGCAAATACTCTTGAGAAAGTTATGAATTCATCACTTTTCAGCCACCAGCTATGAGTTAAATAGTAGGGAAAACTGGACTCTTTAGCTTTGATTGTCAACTCTGATTTCAAAACTGATTGGGTATAGTTTAATAAAAACCTACTTGGTACAGAAACTAGTGGTAATGCCTATTGTATTGAGAGCCATGGCCCCCATATACAGGACTTGAGTAAGTGACTTTCTAGTATTATGCTAATGGAATATTATGCTCTTTTCAGACACATTTTGACAACTGCTATCTTCAGTTGATCTGTGAACAGTATTTGTTCTGCTCACACTAGAGGACAGTTTGAATCCCACAATATACACAGCATCACCTTTGGATGGAAACTGGCTTTTGGTGGGTTATTTAGCTTGCCCCACAATCTTTTGTATTCTCTGTTCTAAAGTATCCACTTTTCATCATGCATCAAAATTTGTTTAGCAAATCACACACTGGCTTACAGACACATCACATTGAAACATTGGTTCCCATATGATCACCAAAGTTATGCAATGTTGGGCCTAGTCAGTACCTTGATGGATGACCCCTTGGAAATACCAGGTGTTGTAAGGTTGGATGTGTAGGTGGTGTAATGGATAATGGCTCAAAATTGTTAATCGAAGATCCGAGTTCCATTTCCAGTTGGTTTTGTTATCTTCACTTAAGTGCATATGCACATGGGAAAGGTGTGAATCTGCGTCTTCTCCCCCAGCTATGGGTTAATTAGTAAGAAAAGTATCACAAAATCATTAACCCCCCACCAAATGTTTAAAATTTAAAAATGTTTTCTGGCTTTAAATAAACTACAAAGGGTTGATAAGCTGTAGAAAAGGAATCAATCAATCAATCAATCAATCAACCTTCTTCAGGTGTCTGTCAATTCAGGAAATCTTGAACTGAACTCTTGTTTATTAATCTACAGGGGTAGATTGTTTCATTCCACTGTCCATGTCAGGTTATTTAAAGCCAGGAAATATTTTTAGTTTGTAAGAATTTGTTTTTGTTAATAGTAATGGTTTAGTGATACAACTCTTAGTAATTATCTCATAGCTGGAGAGGAGAGTTGGTTTTATACCTTTCCCATGGGCATTTGTGCATCAGTGAATATAAGGAACCCACCTGGAATTGAAACCCACCTCTCTGATTAACAATTTCCAAGCCTTTCCATTACACCACCTGCACACCCAAGCTTACAGCACCTGGTATTCCCAAATGCTCACTCATCAACGTTCCCCAAATTCAGTGATTGTATGGGAACCAATGATTCAACATGATGTCAACGTAAGTCTCTGTATGATTTGTTAAACAAATTTTGATGAGTGACGAAAAGTGGATACTTTACAACATCGAATACAAAAGATTGTAGGGCAAGCTAAATAACCCACCACTAATTGTTCCAAAGGTGATACTGTGTATATTGTAGAATTCAAACTGTCCCCTACTATGACCTGAACAAATACAGTTCACAGATCAACTGATAGTTGTCAAAAAGTGTCTGAAAAGAGCATAATATTCCATCAGGATAATACCTTTCTCAAAGGTATTTCCGTGTAAGGGAATATAATGAACCCAACTGGAATTGGAACTCGGCTCTTACCAATTCTGAGCCATCATCCATTATACCACCCACACATCCAAGATTACAGCACCTGGCATTCTCAAATGCTTGTCCATCTAGATACCAGGCTCAATGTTGCTTAACTTCAGTGGTTGTACGGAAACCCGTATTTCAACGTGATTTGACCGTCAGCCTTGAAAAAGTCCGAAATGTGATAATATTAACATACTAGTCTGAATGTCAATAATGTAAATAGAGCATTTTTAATTTTACTTTATAACAAGAGATAAAAATAGTTTGAAACTTTTGTACTGGAGCTACTAGAAAGTCATTTTAACTTTGCTGTAGGCAACTGCTTGTAAGTATTAATTATACCACAATCCTCAAATGTGGAAACGAAGCCGGTACAAGTTCACATTACTCTTTGTAAGATATCTTAAGCATTACCGAACAACTAATACATGTTGGCCTACATGAGAAGCTGTTATTTTTTTCTTAAAGATGAAATAAAGCCGACATAATTTTTTATTTTTTTACTTTATTTCTCTCTCTCTCTCTCTTTTTTTTTTTTTTTTTAAATTCTTTTCTTATTTTGAAAAGATTTTCACTGGCTGTAATTTACCTAGCTTAGATTAGTTTGGCACACGGCCACATGCCTGGGGCATTCAGTGAGGAACGAAATCACTATTCAGCAGTAATGGTTAACCGGACTAACTCACTATTACCCCATACCGAAGCGCCCAAGATTCTCACAACAAGGTTGCTCCTAATTTTTAATGACTCTTCATTCATAAGCCGAAAAAGATTTATCAGTCCTTGGAGACTGGAAAGCCAATAATTAACTGAACATTAATAATTGGGGATCAGTCTTCAAGACTGCGTTATCTCCTATTGCATTAAGGAGAGGAGCAGGATCCCGGTTCCAACTGATATCTGGATGAGTAAACTGGGCAATAAGTGAATGAACCACCATGAAATTCTATATTGCATTGTATACTGTATCAGGTGGATATACGGTTTCCCACATTAAAAATACTGTCAGATTCTGCCATTTCGGGCTAGTGAATAACACACTCAAGATGGGAAAAGATTTTACATCGATAAAATATACCGTTTCTAAAATTCAGTTGTTTTTTTTCTAGGCTCTTTTTTTCAGTCATATTTCTTCTTTATCTGCCGTGTTCCTTCAGGACGTAGGTGAGCATGGCTCTCCACAATTCTTTTAATAAATTTTGTCTTTTTGTTATTTCTCCTAAAACTTGTTCCACCATCCATTACTCAAGCTCACTATGTTGTCGTAAGCCTTGGTAACTGAAGAGAGACTTGAAGTGAATCCAAGCCACACTGAATTACTTGTCAAGTACAAACTCTAGAATCACTGACCAATTCACTATTTATAGGAAGGAGGGGAGAACGCTAAATCACGTGATATTTAAATACTTGACGACGTTCTTCCCTCCAAGAGAATAAGGACATTTTTGTTTTGTTATTATCATATACATTAAAAATACATTCAAGACCTTTCAATACCTATTTCATTTTCAATGAAAAACAAAAGGTTCATAAAATATTCCAAAATAGAAGAGGTGTCCTTCCTGACAAACCCAACGAATCAAAAAAAATATATCATTCAACCCACTAACTCTATCACAATTACAACCGAAAAGAATTTATCTAAACTCAACATAAAATTTGTCACAACTACATCTAAAACAATCAAAGACTTAATAAAAAAACAAAACAATAAGCCAAATCTTGAAGGAGGAATTTGCTCTATTAAATGCAGAAATTGCTAGAAATAATACATTGGAGAAACCTCAAAAAGTTTAAACCAGAGACTATAGGAACACAAAAGGGACATTTTAAATAACAACACACAAAACGCAATTTTGACATAGGGAATGCTACTTTGATTAAAAGAGAAAATAATCCTAAGACGAAGAATGTCTGGATAGTGATAAATTTGCGTCCATGCTCTTCTTGGTAGATTTTATATTGTCACAGAATGGGATAGTCAGGAACAAAGATGATGGAGAGAAAACGAAAAAGAATACAGATAAATCTGGCTAGATTGAAAAAAAAAATTCTTTAAAAAAATTCTTTCAAAATATTTTGAAACTACCTGCGTCTCTCGTTTCGTGCGCATGTATAGACGTGGTAAAATCAATAGAGCCCAGTCGGACGAAACACGTCACAAAAACTTTTCCAGTTTGTCATATTTTTCTATATATCTGTCTATATCTCTGAGATGAGGTATTATGATTTACATTATTTGGACTGTTATCCTCATTTTCATTGCCACATTCACAATGTTTCGGCCGTTGTACGCTCCGGCCTTCTTCGGGTGTTTGGAATTTTGAACCGAACCCTTTATTTCGTCCACTGGGGTAGATTGTTCTAGTTTCACGTGCCATGCTTCTTGCGGATGTTATTTACCTTTAACTCAACTCTCCAAGTTTGGTTCACCACTGTTGTGATCTGGTATTGAACTCACAACTCTTTAAGTCTAGTCACTGGATCTAACCAACGTCTTTATCCACTTTATACACATGGTCCAGTGGATAAAGACGTTGGTTAGATCCAGTGTCAGCATCGTTCTGTAGAACCAAATTTCTGTTGCTTCGAGTCTCTTCATCTTTGAGGAGATTCTTCAGCATCTACTGCCATATAGGAGGACTAATATCACATAACAGTAATTTAGTAATCTTTTCTTTGTTTCAAACGAAAGTTTTCTGTTTCTTAATACATTGCTTAGATTTTGGAAGGCATCTTACACTATCCTAATGCGCCTTCGGATTTCAGTGCTACACCTTCCGTCCTCTGTTAAAGCACTTTCACGATAAAAGTTTCTTATCCAAAATAATATCGAAATAGCAATAAGAAAGTGACATTGGAAAACTAACAGTATAAATTGAAAATTTAATTTCAATCGTTTTATACACTCTGATAGGCACCATGAATGACTTTCAGAAACAGGCATCCTAAGTGTTGGACAGAAATGTTGAATAATCTTTAGTAAACATGAGACAGATAACTGTGATTTGTAGCTGGAAAATTAAATGATGGTTTGGAGCCATTTAGTGAAGCTGTTTATAACAGCGTTAATAAAATATACTTGATTTTTAGCGTATGATGTTGAGCAACATTGGATGGTGATACAGTATCAAACATACTATTATTACTACTACTACATCATCATCACCACCGTAATAATAATAATACTTTCTATTGTAGCATACAAAAACAGTTTCAATCAAGCATTCAAGTACGAAGAACTTTATTGATTGGTGCAGCCAGTTTGACTAGTTTCTAATGTTTCCATTACTCCTGTTTAAATAGTTTGTTTTTTGATGTCTCGATGGTGTAATCTGGACGGATATCAACAAAATATACTGGGTTATGTGTAAGCAAGAAAAAAAGTTGATTTAATTGTGGTTCAGTTGCACATTTCTAGTCGGCAGCACTAAATATATGACAATTTTAGGCTCATTCCGAAAGGCTAAATAAATTCGAATCTTTGTTAGCAAAGTAACCATTTCATTTGTATCAATCTGCTAACACACACACACACATTTCTATATATAGCAGACACTAACGCATTGAATATATATATATATATATATATATATATATATATATATATAATATATATATGATGAATTCTCCCGTCGATTTCGACTTATGAGGATCTGACAACCTCATTCAGTTTTTATGTTCGTATTGTATGTGTCACTTCAGTCCCGCTAGTGATATGCACACATATTATTATTAACAGATGTTAAAAAACACCCCGTCGTACAGGAGGATAACGCATTTATGGCGAGCATATTTTGTAAATAAAGTACTCGATATTAAGAAATTGAGCTTTAATAGTAAATAAATAAATAAATGAATAAAAAGTTGAAAGGCTTATTTCCCGATTCAAATTTTCCCGGAAGTAAATGAAATGTATCTTTCTAAAATTTAATAAATTATAGAGTTAGTATATTTATTTACTTAAGATATTTTTCAT